AGTATATCTACAGTGAGTTCTCTCCAACATCTTAAAAAGACATTATAAAACGGATTTCTGCAGTCCTGGAGGCTGACCGGTCAATATATAATAATAATGTTTAATTAATATATCGCCTTTCCTGAGCTCAAGGACGCTTCACAAAGAGCTTCATCTTTGCTAAAAGCAAGCGATAAGATGCAAGACACGATTCTATTTTAAGAAAACAGTCACAGATTAAGCTATCTGAAGCAAATTCATTAAGTGACATCCTTTCACAAGAGGATATTACCTTTCAAAAGTTTGGTTTAATTTGCTTAAATTTTATTCGCTTAATTTGATTTAAAAATACAGTAAAAACAGTGATATTGTGAAATATTACAATACATTTTTTTAATTTAATTTATTTTAATATATTATTCTTGTGATGGCAAAGCTGAATTTTCAGCATTTTTACTCCAGTCTTCAGTGTCACATGATCCTTCAGAAACCATTTTAGAGCACACTGTTCTAGATTGTCCTCATTGTCTGAAAAACAATTGAATATCTGAGTGAATTGTTCAGGAGCTGATTTGGTGCTCAAGAAACAAAGAAAGAAAGTTGTGGCTGCTTAATATTTTGGAGATAACCATGATACATTTTTATAGGATTGTTTGATGAACAAAAAAAAGTTGAAAAAAACATTAATTTGAAATAGAAAAATGTAGTAACATTATAAATGTCTTTACGGTTACTTTTAATCAATTTAATGCAGCCTTACTGAATGAAAGGATTAATTCGTAAAAAAAACAACAACAACAACAAACCACCACAAATATTTGAACCGTACTGATATTTTATCCGTATATTTTAACAATACGCTTAAATGTGTATTCTTTGTCAAAGCACACCATCTGCTGGTTGGACACAGAATGCGGCCTCACGGCTAAAAAATGGACTGGAATGTGCAATGAACAAACCATGAGAACTGCAAAAAGTATACAGTTAATTCAACTTAGCAGACAGAGATACAAAACCATCATGCTCTAGTCTAAACCAACGTCTTGAACCAATTTTTCACCTTAAAGATGATAGCGATAGGTGCGTCTTCAGAGAGGGTGTTGTGCTTTAGGTAAAAGCGTCCCTGTTTCACAATCATGTTGGTTCTGCTCTTCTTCTCATGTGTAGAGCTACAAACCAGAGAGCAAAAAGAAAGACATATGAGCACACAACTGGATATTTAGATATGAAATTAACATTAATTCTACTTAACATTTGAACGTGTAAAACTTTGAGCAAATATATCAATTAAAAGGTGCTCTTTAAATCAAGATTATTATTATAGCTTATGCAGAAGAGCAAATTCCAGCACCTGGTGACAGATGCTCCCACAGCACCTTTGCGATCTTGCTCCACAATGATGCGGTTCTTGGATAACTGTTCCTGAATGAGAATGACCTTTTCTTGCCCTTTCACAATAAAATAACCACCTGCACACAGACAAATCCTGTATCGTACTTATGCGCCATGACCTGATCCCACACATATGAGCTTCAGATAGGATTATCTGCATTATACTACGGCATGCAAACAATTAAATATCATTGAGATTTAATGATAATCGACCTGGATCCAGGGGACATTCATTGAGCTTAGAGAACTCCAATTGGGTCTTTCCTGTCAAGACGCAGTTGGAGCTTCGCAGCATTATTGGCATCCTATTAAAAAAAGGAGAAGCTCATTTGAAATCAAAAAGGAAACGCATATTAAGAGGTCTATGCAAATCTTTCAGTAAGTGTAGAATTACCTTCCGATTGGGAGAGCATTGCGAATGATTCTCTGGCTGCCTCGGGTGTACTCTATATCCACAGTGATGGGGGCTGAGTATGTCATATCTCTCAGACGACACTAGTGGTCAAAAAGCAAAATCATCAGGAGCAAATATTGCCGTCTAGAGCTAGTTCTCTTTTTTACTTATTTCAACAAACTTTTAAAGTTTGCTTTGAATAAGAATAGTCATTAGGTCACATGTAAACAAAGATGTTACCTCATGTGGTGCCACTGGTCTGGTTACATTAAAACTTTCTTCTACGTCAGGCATGCCAACGTAGATATTGAGATATCTAGAGACAGATGAGATATAACAGGCAGTATTGTTATTGTTAATAAAACTGTTAAAAAAATCATTTTCGGTAATTCTATTCACATTTCGGTCATTTATTACAAAAGCTTGTATTAAAATAAAACATTAGGTGAAAAACGTACAAAGAATTTGGCAAATAAAAAATAAGTTAAAGTACTAAAATTATTAAAACTGAAATCATTTATTAGAGCTTTATTAGGCCTGTCCTTTTTACAGTCTATGGGCCTGTCACGTTCATGAATTTTGCGCTGATGTTTTACTGTCATACAAATAATGCCACCTACAGTGTAAGCATAATATAATATAATATAATATAATATAATATAATATAATATAATATAATATAATATAATATATGTAGTCTGATTAAACCCACAAACATTAATTTCGTATGAAGGAAGACCTTTGGCTATATTTGTGTACTTTACAACTGTTTTTTTTTTTTATTCTTTGGCAAAATTTGATTTAAATTTAAACTGCACAATTATTGCAGTTATCTCAAATAATTGCGATTTCATCAAATAACAACAATTGGGCAATAATCGAGACATATAAAATATAGAAATATAAGCTATAGAAAAAAACAAACTATAAAAACATACATTATTTAAATACAAGTTAATACGTTTACTGTAGTAATAGTATAAAAATAATACTAAAATAACAAGTGTTAAAAATGCAAAAATAATGTCAAATGTGCAAAAAAATCGAATTGAACAATATCCTCACTTTAGATACCACATTGGGTCGGCATCACTCGTGATCTTCTCGTTCGCCTTCATGATCTTTTTTATCTGGAGAGATAAGTAGACATTTGTTTATGCTACTTAAGCTTTTTGTCGATATCAAATTCTTTTGCTGGTACAAAAAGTAACCACAAAAAAAAAAAAAAAACCTGATGCAATGGAAACCAGTGAAAAGGAAACACATAATAAACTGATAATAAATATATTGCATTTACAAAATATGTGCAGAACACTGGTACATCCTTAAATAAGTCAACAAACCTCCACATTGATGAAGTAATTGAAGGAATCAATGTGCTGCTTTACTAAGCCTTTAACCTAAAAAAAGAAATATTACATAAATATGACCTTGGCTTAGAGGCTGTAAACATAATATCATCATTCAACATAAATCTTGCTGGATAATAAGACTGTATGATATGTATAAGAGTGTGCATATATAGATATTTGGCAAATAACAAACATTTTTCTTTTCAACTTCAATATTTTGAGATTTTATTTTTTAAATCATCTATTTTACAATCGAACAAGTTATTATTTTTTTGCAATTCACTTAAATATGCCTGTGGTGTGACAATTTAAGTCCAAATATGTAGTCTCAATTAACTTGAGCTCATTCAAATTTCTTAAATAACTATCAAAGTAGATGTAGTAAATGATGTGTAATATAGTTTTAAACTATTTATTATTTAAAATATCACAGCATGTCTCAGAGCTGTCATTGCTTGACGCGCCAGATGCTGTCAGATCATATCTTTCTTCTAATTTGTAATGATAGTTGTCATAGTTACGGTGACAACATGATTTTACCTTCAAAAAGGCTGGAAGCAGCTTCCACTTTTCCTGCAGTATAGAAGGGGACAGATGAATTACCTTGCAATGCCTCTCATTCATATCTAACATATATAACGTTACTAACGTTTGCTCAAATAGCACTCACCTCCACAGTGTGTACGGGAGCAGCGAGCTGCTGGGGAGTCATCTCCCCAAACTCCTCCTGTAGCATTTCTGCTATTAGCTGAGATAGCAATGAACTTGAGAAATATAATATAAGTTAGGAAACCATCATACACGCCGCAGACACTCTGCAAAGTGCAAAAACACTCTGAAGTCTGAACGGAAGTTTGCGGTACACGTGAAAGTGTGAGGTGTAACCTGAAAATCAGACCGGGGAGGAACGCAATGCGCACACATGTATTCCGACCCATGTCCACAGTTTATTTTTTTATTTTTTATAACGTACATGTGACCATATGTATAAAACAATCCACAAATACAAAAGGATAGTTGTCAAATAACATGCACAACATTTTTCAAAATTAAGATTTTAAGTCTGATACCATACTTAAAAGCCAGGATTCAAAATTGTATTAAACGATTATTAAACCATAATCAACTGAAGCACAAGATGCTCTTCTGGAGCACATGTTCATCTGGTTCATCCAAGTGCTCAGGTGCTGCTGTTATTAAAGCAAAAGATGGACAGAGCTAATACAAATAAATTCATAGTATTTTTTCAATTCAGCTTTGAAAAATGCAAAATAGAAGGCTTTTCACTAGTGGTTTAATTGAAACCGTTGGACCCATTGTGAATATTTGGTGTATATAGATGGAGTAACTGGTCACCATATTTTTAATAATATATTTTTAATCACATTGTTTATTTTGATTTATTTTTGTATGCATTTATTGTTTGCAGTTACCTTAAATAGTGCTGTGGTGTGACAAATGAATTTTTTAAATCATAAATATGAGGCAATGAACCTGTATGTGTAACAATTATACAATGATTATAAGTTGTTTATAGCATTTTTTTTTAAGTTGACATGATACAGAAGTTGCGATTATCTTTAATTCACCATTGTGACGTATACCGTAGAGATAGTCGAATAAATAAATGTAATAAGTTCTGCAAATAAACAATCACAAGTGGATCAAGAAATGATTTTTAATGTGAAATGTTAACCAACTATGTATATAACAGCAGTCGTGGTCAAAATAGGCAAAGAGAAAAACTCTCTAAATGAGTATACTGTTGTTTATTAACATATTAGTAAACAAGCATCTAAATTGAAGACTTCTCCAATACAAAACACATATCTACGCATTTAAAATTACAATGTGCCTTTAAAAACGAATTCTTTAAAAATGTGAAAAACCTGAAAAGCTATTGTCAGTACACAGCATGTGGGATTTATACGTGTCTGTTGTTGCTGCTAAGCAGCTTGGGATAAGCGGTCCCAATAGAGCGGCCATGTCTGTGCACCACCATCTCCAGCTGGTACTCATCCAGATTGACCACAGCTGTGGTGGTCTTCTCAGTGGACGTGAGGAACAGGATGGTAAAGATTGCCATCTCGAACTCAGGACTCACACCAACAAAGGCGCTGGCCACTGGCTTGACCAAACCATGCCAGCTGAACTGCACGTTCAAGACATGATCATCGTCATCGGGCTGCGTGGAAGAGAAACAAACACATATTCAGCAAAGTCTGCACACAGAACAATCAATCATTAACAATTGTTGTGTTATCTTCGTATTTATTGATGAAAGAAGTACCACATTATTGTCCCTGGCTTTGTAGCCCTTGTAATCAAGAAGATCCTGCTTCTCTTGCAGGTAAAACTGGACCCAGTTGTGAAGACCCATGATTTCTCTGCCAAATTTGGTTTCCCCAACAAACACATGCTCAAATCCACTGGAGTCCTCCCTTTTTGGAAGAAAGATAGTGATGCATTTTATAATTAGAGCAGATAGGGAATAAAAGATAGACATTTTTCATGTTACGCTGGTGTATGTTGCTTACCCTCCATTTCTGTCTCTATGATAAAGGCGGAACCACATGTAGTACAACTGACTCTTAAACTGTCTCAGATCTGAGCGTGATTTCCCCTTACCGATCAGGTACCGGTGGGCACGCTGAGGGAGTAAAACAACATTCATATAAAACTGAACTAATGACCCCAGAATAATCATACGCCCTTCCACACTCTTTTCCCCTTGGCATAATAAGTAGCTGTTAAGAACAGGGTGTGGCAGGGAACAACCACAATATTTTGGTTAGCAACGAGAAAAAAAGTGAACTTGTCTTTACATGTAGTACTTTGAATACTTTTCATTTTTTGTTATTGCCTTGAGAAACAAGAGGGGATTTTTTATTTGGTTAAGGGGGTATAATTTGAGTCATACTGTACCTTCATGACTGCAGTATCTAAGATAGCATCCAGAAAGGAGTTATTTTCGGTCACCTCCTCAGCGGTCACCCTCTCTGCCACACCAGTGGACCTCTCATAGTTGTCCAAAAGCTTCATGAAACCTGTTGAGAGATGAGAAAAATCACAGACCAGTTTTGGTTGGTGAAAACAATTTCATTTCTGGTCATTTTGGTGGTTATGTATCATATTCATGCACATGTAAATGGAAGAAATGTAAACCTTCTTTTACTTTATTTCTTTGTGATTTTGTGAGAATTTTAAAAGGGTTAGTTCACCCCAAAATTAAAATTGATTAACCCCCTGGAGCCGGCGTATGGATGACTCTTATGATGGATGGATACGCTTTTTTGGGCTTCAAAATCTAGGGTCAAACTCACTCCCATCATATTTTTTTTTTGTATAACTCTGATTGTGTTTGGCTGATTGTGAAGTCATATACACCTAAGATGGCTTGAGGGTGAGTTAATTAAAAGAGGATTTTCATTTTTGGGTGAACTAACCTTTAAAGTCTCAAATACTTCAAAATTAAAGCAGAAAACGTATGATCCTCAAGGACGAAATGTTTACTTTTTTGTATGTTAATAATTGTGCCTTACGAAACTGGTATGTTCCCTGTCTTGTGTTGTATGTGAAAATGTGTAATAATCAAAATTGCATCATGTATATTGTTCTATCCTATTCAACCTCATAAATCCAAAATATGTGAAGTGATTTAAATTTATATGCATGAGGTTTTTAAAATAACATTTCAGATTCACATTTTTCCAGTAAAGTGTTGCATCAAGCAACCAATATATTAGTGGTTTCCCAGGGAAAATATGCTCTAACCCTAACTCCACCAAAAGAAGGGACTGAATGCAACATTCAACTTTCCACCAATCAACTTCAAGATTAACTGCCTGCCTAAACATGCAACTCTTGGTGTGTCTCTGTTAAATGTTTTAGCACAGCTGCAATGGATAAAACATTTTTTGCAAACTGACAAAATGATTAAAGGGGGTTAGAATCTTTTTTCTTAAGGTGTTGGATTTTTACAAAAGAAACATACGTGCATAAGTGGTAATGCCGTCCAATTTGGCCTCATCGACACTGGAAAACAGTGGGGATGAGGCATGGTCTACCGCACTTGTGCTTCCTTGTGCTATGTAACCAGCTTTGCCCTAAAAGAAATGTTAGATGTTTTAATGTAATACATGATTGGTCACTATACTTAATATTGTGGGACATTAAAAAATACTGACACCTGTAGTGTGATATTGTAATCAGTTCCAGGCTTCATGCGATTCACATCCAGCTTCCAGAGCTCATTGAAAATATTCGAAAGCTCCTGGTTGACAGTTTGACTGAGAGTGTAGAGAAAACAAAAAGTGAATTGTCTAAAACTTGTATAAACAGTTCTCAGGTGTAGTGCATTGCATTAATGTATACAGGTCAAATTGGAAAATATTTTACCTTGCTGCATCACTGAAATTAAACAGTGCCAACAGCACAAGGATCCATCCACAATCATACCTGCAACACACAAACATAAGAATGTAGTGTGTGTGTGATTATATAAGTATATACAGCATATGTATGTATATTTGTGTATAGTATATTTCATGCCTGCTACCTACTTAAATTAATAATGTAAGTTTATAAAACTTAACCTGCTGCTTTACAGTAAAATCGCAAAAGTTAAAACCAAAGAGAATATTCTAATAAATGACCGATTACTGTAAATAACAGTAAACACATGAACTTACAAACATAAATGCGACTTAAGAGGTCCTCAAAACAAGGTATTAAAAAATCACAACGTTACACCGAATGACCTTTTGTAAAGCTATTCTGCTTTTTAAAATGGTCTTTAAAGACGTAACGTTACAAGTGTATATGCAAAACATAACGTGTTCAACATACCCTCTGCGCATGGTTGTTGCAATGATGCGCGTGCACAGATGAACGCGAGCTTGAGCAGTTTTCCTCTTTTGTTGAAGGTCGTATCGCACGCCCAGTGAAGTGACCCCTGACGATTCTCTCACACCCCAATATGTTGACTGACTGAGTCAAACCTTTTGCATCGAATAAAGGAGTAGAATGAAAATGTACACCAAAACAACAAATGGGCGGAGCTTATGATAAGTTGTCTGTGATTGGTCAAGAAGGGTAAGACAGTTTTTTATTTTAATTAAGCACGCAGCTCTTTTTCACATAATACTTTTTTTTTTCTGCGCTGGTCGAGACGGATTTTTTATATTATTATATTATTTTATATTATTATTATTATATTAGCCTAAAAGGACTTTGTTATACTTGACGCGCTCGCCGTTGTGCTATTCTGTGAAACGACAGGGGGCGACTCCGAGTAATTCTCCTCTAAAACACCAGGAATCAGCAGTGAAGAAGTAGTTTGCCGTTTATTAGTAGTTTATTAATTGCTGATTCATATAAAAAGAGTAATAAATGCAGTAGGTTTATTGTACGTTCACTGCATGTAAACTAGTTAAACAACTGAAGCCTTATTGAAGAGTGTTTAAACCTTAATTTCATCAGCAGGGCTTACTTCTAATTGTAGGCTTATTTTTTTTAAAATATAGGCAGTTCAGACAAGTGCAAACTGGGTGCTTAATGCAAGTGTGTTCCTATTCACAAAATGAGAGTATTTTATGGTCGCCCATCAATGCAAATGTCTCTGTGTATAGAAGGATCATAAACATGGTGGTACAGACGTACCAGTTCGGCCAGATTCGGCTCGAAGTCGTTCATCTTCGGATGCGGCGCCGCGCGCGATGTTACAAAAAGTGCCGTGCACACCGCCAGGCGAAATGGTGTCTTGCGCATGGGTCTTGCGCACCCAACGCGCACGACCGCCCACACCGCAATGACGTCATTTTTGCCGCGCGCACCTTCGCGCTCTTGCGGACGCGGCGAGCTAACATGTCTGTGAGTGAATGTGGGCGCGGGACGGCGGGCCGGGCACATTTACTGCACTAAAAACACCGTCGGCCTGAGCTGACTGTAACTTATGTGTGTTGGTTTCGTTTTACAGAAACCGTGGGACATGTTGTGTGTAGTGTTTGTGGGCACTGAGTCGTGGGAACGTTCACAACATTTAATGTACATTTGACATGAGTCGATTTTATTTGTTCGAGCCCTGCACTGTGGCGGGCTGTGTTTGTGTGTAGAAATGAACAATGGGCTGTGGGCATTTTATTAGCAGCTACACTCATAACACCATCGGCTGTGGCCGGAATACCAGAAAATACTACACTGCTTATATGATTTATCTGTGTCACCTTGGAAACGGCATTTGTGTGCAGGCAAGCGTTAGCATCGGTCGGGCACCCATCCTCCGATCCTGTAGCTCCATAGACGTGTAACGTTAGCTCACGCCAGCGAGCGAACGCTGGACCAATGGTGATCCTCGTCCTGGCTTTTCATTTGACACTATGCCTTTTTCTTTTTTTTAGTGTCCTCTGACAAAACCTTTGCCTTCTTCCTTGTAGCTGTTGGTTCGGCCATGACGAAAACATACAGACGGCAATCAAACGCGAGTTGAGCACTCACGTCAGAATCTGAGGAAGCTGTGGGTGGTGGGGGAAGTGACGTATGCCGTAAAGCGGTCGAATTTTGTAGTTCTTTTTGTGCTCGGGTTCCTACCCGAAACCCGAAGTTACATAGTGCCAGTAAAAGCGATACAGACACCTTCAGGCTTCGGCAGACGTGTCATTCAACCTATTGTAAGTCGATGTACCATCTCAATGGGTTTTGGTAATATATTATAAAGGTTGAAAAGTTCCACAGTGTGCCTTTAATGCATTAACTAATGTTATCTAATAAACCTTATTGTAAAGTGTTACCAAGATTCATTTATGCTACATGATAGCATTTCCATAAACGAAAACATTATTGCTATCCTTAAAGTACTGCTGCAGGGTAAAAATAATTCACAATGAACTTTCATTAAAGTAACAAATATTTTATCCAAATGAGACTTAAATAACATGCAAACAGGATGTAAAATATATTGTACAGAGTTTTGCATGCAAATGTGTGAAACATATGCAGTATTGATGCATGTAGTACTGGCTTTATAAATTGTACAGGTCAAAAAAAAAAATAAACTCCCAACATTTATGTTTAAGACTGGACCTAGAACTTTCATTTGAAATATTGATGATACATGCTAGTTTCATTATTGGCAATGTACAACTTCAATCTATCAACAATTTAATAAAATATATCTTTGATTTTGACTGAAAGTGTCATTGTGCTCTTCTGCCACCATAACTGGCACAAACCTGTCACAGATTTTATTTCAGACCAGCAAACTACAGTAGGACTGCTTTTCATATCATATCGATCCACAAAAACAAAAATGACCACTAACAATCCGATTAAAAAAAAGGGCAGACAGTCTTCCATCTACCTTCGGGAGACATTATTTCAACAAAATGTTCTTGAAAGGCATTTGAAATACTTTAAAATGGTTTTGATGAGTTGACGTGGCTGTGATTGATATATTTGGCATTCAGATGGAGGTGCGTGTGTGGTGTTGGCAGAGGAATTGGCACAGTCACTTCCAATTAAAGCAGCAGCACTAGGGGTGAGACGGTCCCTGCAGTGCCCTCACACGTTGGAGTCATCATCCTTTAAGCTGGCATTGGAAAATGGCGTGGAGATCTCCTTGAAGAATTCATCCTCCTTCAGCATACTCTGAATACAAAACACATGACACACAGTTTAGGCTCAACAACACACACACACACACACATATATATATATAAAGCAGCAAGTGAGATCAGATGTGCAGCTGCTTGTTACCGTTAAGTTGTTGATGCCCTCAGAGAAAGCGCCGATCTGCCTTACTGTCCCCTCAGAGTCATCCATCTGGATCAAAAACAATGCAAAGAAGAACAAAGCCATAAAGATGTTAGTGATTCAATTAATGACGTATTCATTGTCTTTAATTATTCGATTAAGGTTCTTGACTATCGATTTATCAACTCAGCATACAATACCGGTCAAAAGTTTGGAATAATTAAAGATTAATTTTTTAAAGTCTCTTATGCTCGCCAAGGCTGCATTTATTTGATAAAAAAAATACAGTAAAACGGTAATATTGTGAAATATCATTGTAATTTGAAATAACTGTTTTTCTATTGTAACATATTTTAAAATATATAAAATTTATTCCTGTGATGGCAAAGCTGAATTTTCAGTTTTCAGTGTCACATGATCCTTCAGAAACCATTCTAATATGCTCAATGATTACTATTGATTCTCAATTATTAATAATGGTTTTTATTATCATCAGTGTTACATGTCTATATTTTTGCTGCTTAATACTTCTGTGAAAAATGTGATGCATTTTTTTTAGGATTCTTTAATGAATAGTTCAAAACAACAGCATCCATTTGAAATAGAAACTTTCCGTATTATTTTAAATGTTTTAACTGACACTTTTGATCAATGAATGCGTCCTTGCTGAATAAAAGTATTAATTTCTTTTTTCTGTTCTTTAAAAAAAAAATTCTTAGATCATCATCATGGTTTTCACAAATATATAAAGCAGCATGACAGTTTTCAACATTGATAATAAGAAATTTTTCTTGAGCAGCAAATCAGCATCCTAGAATGATTTTTGAAGGATCATGTGACACTGAAGAGTAATGATGCTGAAAATTCAGCTTTGCATTATAAATTCTTCAACTTATTTAACTCATCTTAAAATGTATTCAAACAGAAAATGTTATTTTATTTTAAATTGTAATAATATTTAAAATATTACTGTTTTTAACTGTATTTTTGATCAAATAAATGTAGCCTTGGTGAGCACAAGAGGCTTCCTTCAAAGACATTGAAAGAATCACTTTATTATTTATATATTTTATTTATATTAACATATTGTAGTTAAAATTACACATTAACCAGTGAGTCTCCCATGTGTTTTGCAGTATTTCATGTTGACAATGAAAAATTCCTGAATTTCAACCCGACCACCAGACATCATGGACCAACAAGCTTCTATCACTACCTGGTCAAATCGATCTAGGTCATCATCATAGATCTGGAGCTCCATGCCTCTGTAGCCCTTCTGGAAGCTGCGTCCTTTGGGCATCTCCACATCCATGGGACAGACATACTCTTCATTGTCCTCTTGCTTCTTCTTCCTACCAAACCCTCCAAACGCCAGCTTGTGCGGCTAAAATTGAATCAGACACAAACATATGTTCATACTCCAAATTGAATGAGTCGCATGCCAGTTCTCTAGTAAATGGCCTGGAGATGTTCTGCATCATACCTTGACTTTAGCCGTGGCAGTGAGTAAGATGTAGTCTGGGTTCTCTAAACACTCCTGTTTGAGTTGCTGGGCCTCAGAACCCACCAGCAGGTTAAAGTGAGTGGCCAGATGCCTCCGCAGCAGTGTCTTATTGGGGGGAATATTTAGCAGCAGAGCCATCGTCTCCACATTAAAGCGAGGTTCCAGCACCTGAAACAGAAAAAAAGACACCCATTTCTTAGGACCAAACTTGCACTTTCTATTACTCAAAGAGGCTGGGTTGAAAGCAACAAAAGCAAAAGTTTTCTCTAAATGTGGTTTGATAAGCAGTTCGTCATTTTGCAGACGCTTTCATCTAAACTTCATTTCCACTTGAGCAAACTGGGGCCCGATATACTTACAGCGAAATCTAAGAATGATCTATTGCAGCGTCATTTTGAACAAAATCATGCCGAAAATGCTGGTAAACACCTTCAAACTATCATTGGTCCGTGGCGATTACGTAATAGGTAGATGTGATATGTGGCTTCGCATTATTTGACAAGGAGATATCCAGTTCATTTCTTCTGTCAAATCCGTTAAGGTCAGTCTCGAATAAAACCATGAACACACTAAAGAGAGCTGCTGCATAGTAGAAATTTAAGTTGTATTTCTAATTGTGACACTGTCTGATTATTTTTTCTCAACACTTGAATATGGGTAAGTTTCATA